CCTAGTGACCCCTGGAATGATAAATTCTGCACGTTTACAAAGAAATGCAGTAAGGTCTCCTTATGATGACTTACTTTGAGTTACAGGTATTTCTGCTTTTTATTCTAAATGTCCAGAAAGGGGATGAAAAGACAAGGTCTTTAAATGAAACAGTTCACACAAAGGTTTTTTTTCTGTTGTTTGTTTTGTTTTATTTTAAAGCTAAACTTGACCTTGACGATTTTAATATAAAAGATGCTGATATCAAGACCTTTATGCTCACAATGTGGGAGGAGTCCACACCTGTGACATCACTTTACAAGTGAGGGTTAAAGATGGGCCCGTCTAGAAAAGGTAGAATTTATGAGTGCTTTGGAACACAAGGCATGGCATTTTGTCCTTATGGAATGAAAATATTAATTTTATATATGCTTTTAATTACAAATGCTGCACATCTCCCCCGAGTCTAGAAGGCCCTGCCTATTTCTTAATTACCAGATCTCAGCGTCTGGTGGAGGCAAGCTTTTCGCCTGTCCCAGTAAAGGGTGAGCACGTTAACGTTCACTTTGTGTGTTCACTTTGTGTGTGTGGACAGAGGGAAGGTGTTAATTCGGATGTTAGGGAACTGTGATGATGCTGTTATTTAAGTCACTTATTTGAGTGTGGGTCTATAAATAAACCCAAGGGGGCTCCTGGGTGTCTCTGTGCTTCTTGAATCCGGTGCCCTGTCTGTCTCATCCTATCCGACAGGTAGAATTGATGCCCCTCTAATCCCTGGAAGTTTGGGGCTAATGAACTAACTGCTGAGCGGCCGCCACGGAGCTTGGTCCCAAACTATACTGTACTTCACACTCGATTTATTCTCCAGATGGCGAGACTGTGCCGCCCCGCCGCGAGGGACCACCCCTTCCACTGGAGTGTAAAAGTGGACGGATGTTGTTTTCTTTTCAGATCTCATCGTTCTTAGCTAGAAACTTGCGAGGATGATTAGTTATTAGCTTTAATGGGTGCCAACTGAACCAACTGCACGCAGATTTTTTTACCTTAATTTCTGAGGCCGCAGGTCTTGGGGATGGTTGATTTATCTGCTTTCTTACGTCACCGGAGCATGTCTCCTCTCCAGGTGACAGGAATCCAGGCTCTGAAATCATAGCACGCCTTGGTTCCTGGCCCAGACACGGTCACACAGTACTGTGGCTTATGCTCAAGGACAGTTTCATTAGCCTCTGGCCCACTGCACCAGATAGCCTGTGGCACGGAATATCGACCAGTTGGTTGCAAGAGCTTTGGGAAGGCTACTTTTCAGAACAGGAAGATTCTGGTCCATCCCGACTTGTCTGAAACCCCGTGTGAAATCTGCAATCAGGCATGGTACAGAACACTCAATGGCAGTAAGTGAACACTTCCAAGATCTAAGGGGACCTTTCATAAAAGGCCTTGATTTCTGTCATTCAGCTTTGAAGTTTGTCAGATCCGAGAGGGCCACGGTTGGTCCAGCCATGAGGACCCAGCAACAAGGCCATTGGCAGTGTGGTCCCTCCTCAGCCTCAGTGAGACCAACTTTCCCCCTTAGCATTCTATCCCTACAAAGCATGCTCCTTTCAAAATCTCTGAAAGCCACTCTCTACACCCCACTGAGGGAGTGTGCCAGGCGCCTTGTAGACCTCTTTAACCTACCTAAAGAAGGAGATGGAAGGAGGAATAGGGCCAGAGGAAAAGGAGAAGTATGGAGGGATGGTGGCGATGAAGGTGAGAGATGGTAGGGAGAAGTCAAACGAACAGAATGTCCTCCTCACAACTGGGTGGACAGATCTAACAGAATACACACCACTAATTGTTCATCGAAGCTGCCTCCCTCGAAACCCAACAGATGGCTTGGGTGTATTTACTAGCACAGTGACATATTTCACCATTAAAATAACAAAAAGAAAAAAAAATCCACACACTTGTTGGTTGGTGTAAATTCAGTAAGGTTGTTGGATATTTTGGGATACGTACCAGAGGGATCCATTCTTCATTGATGTAAATTATAGCAATCAACAGCCTGTTAATAAGGGTGTTGTATGGCAATATACCTCAGATGCCATCCTCTCTCTTTGGAAAGGTACACTGTGATGCCCGGGAAAGAGCTCCGTGTTTATTCCGAGCCAAAAAAGAAGAAGAGAACGCCGAGCACTCGCTGCTCGTTATTGTAACACGCAAAGGACTAATCAGATTATGCCTGGAAACTGGAATTAGGTTCTTCTTTTGCAGCCAATTTCACAAGGATCGAGTCTTACTAAGTCAGCCGGAATGTGCGGAAACCATGGCAATCTGACTTCAGATGAAAATCACAAGCAGGCTTAGAACATGAGCTCTGAACAAGCCGTTCCCTTCAGACCCAAAGGAAATCACCAAACAGCTTAAGGGTCCGGTTCTGTTTGACACCAGAGAAGCAATTTAGGGAGTTGCCAGGGACTCTGCATCATCGACAACACATGTTTGGTAGACATGTTCATTCGGTCCTCCCTTCTTAAAGACGGGGGTGGGGGTGGGGGGTAGGGGGATGAGGAACGTAGACCAGGCTGGCCTAAAACTTGACATCCTCTTCCATCTGCCGCCTGAGCACACCACCATACTCAGCTTGACTGTACAGTAATCTTTCCCTAGATAGTCTAAAATTGCCTTTTATTTTCTCATCCAGTGTTTTGGTGGACCCTCTGCAAGGCTGACTTGGTATTGGGTGAGAATCTAGACGTTGGGAATGTTTGCAAACCCAAACTATCCAGACTTTGTAACTGTCCAGACTGTGCGCAGCAGGACCTGGATTTTAGGTCCTCTGAGGCCGTGGATCTGAAAACAGAGGAGCCCCACTGCTACTAAAGAGAACCTTTGAACCCTGCTGTTGGTCTAAGGCCTATACTTGGTCATCAGCATATTCCCATTAGCCTCTGCAGCAACAGTACACAGAAGTGGCATCTGCTCTGTGAAATAACCAATTTGGGTAGGGGTGGGAACTGGAGAGTCAGCTTAGAGGTTAAGAGCTCATACTTCTCTCGAAGAGGGCTTGCGTTCGAGTCCCCAAATCCTCATCATCAAGGGTGGCTCACGACCACCTGTGACTCCAACTTTTCAGGGCAGTCTGAGGCCTCTCTGAACTATTTGGGCACCTGTGCTTGTGTACACATACTTCCTACAACACACATATACATAGTTAAGGAAGAATCTAGAAAAATTAAGTAATGGCATCATGTAGACACAAATCACTATTGGATGTATCATCTCATGTGCTTTCTTTTTCTTTTGCTTAAATTTGGCCTAATTATTCACAGCCAATACTCCTAAATCAAGTTTGAACAGACACCCTAATCTCATTCTGGGTGCTGTTTCCACATACCCTAATAACTCTAAGCAAGTCTTTCATCACACTGTGTAGCTCAGGCTCCAACCGGAAGCCTTCCTGATTTCCATTCAGAGGTTGACTTGCTTATATCTGGTTTAAGTCAACTGTCATAGGTTGTCTCTTTGACTGGGTTTAGACTTCATGTTGGCTTAAATAGTTCAATTATTTCTTGTTTTAGATAGGCTCTCACTGTGTAACTCTGCTAGCTTGTAACTCACTATGTAGACCAAACTGGCCTCAAACTCAATGATCTGCTTGCCTCTGTCTGCCAAGTGCTAGGGCTAAAGGTGTGTGCTACTACTCAAAGCAAACAATTCATCCTTATCTATGCGTTGGGAAGCCATTTTCTTAGATATGTGTTGCTATCCAAATGGCTGTATATTGTTAGTATTTTTCCCCCAAAGATTTATATAATTTTATTTTATGTGTTTGAATGTTTGCTTGTGTGTGTACGCATCGTGTTTGTGACTAGTGCCCATGGAAGCCAGCAGAAAGTATCACTCCCCTGGACCTGTAGTTACAGACAGTTGTGAGCTGCCATGTGGATGCTAGGAACTAAATCTATGTCTTCTGGAAGAGTAGTGAGTGCTCTTAGTCACTGAGCCATTTTTTTTTAATGCATTCATCGGTAGTTAGATGCTTTAAAGTTTTATTGATGTCGTAAAAATTCTTCCCAAATGAAACTACCTTTGATAAGCGTTCCTTCTGGCAGTGGGAATTTGTTGAGGGCTGTTGGCAAGATGGAGGACTTTATTTCTGAAACTAGAATTGGCCGTAAATAATGGCCCTAAGAGCTTCCTTTCTCTCAACGCCGACCCTCACCTCTCCTTTAGTATGCCCTTTTCATTTGCCCATTCCACAGTCTTCACCTCCAACTCAAAGCTAATGCATAACATATTTGGTCTCATACATTTTTTCGTTGGGATAATTCAAATGTGACTTTTAGGTTTTCATAACTGCAGCGAAGACCATCAAATCAGTCTATTTGTCAGCACTCCATGAAGGGGTTTCTTGGATACTACCGTTTCCATCTGAGTTAGTGGGAGCTTCTCATGAAATACTGAATGCTAGGTTCCTGTGAACCCCTTCTTAATTGAATGCCTGCCAAGAAGCAACTTGATCATTAAAAATAAAAACTATGATTTTTTTTTTTAAAGTGTGATACCTGAGGAGCAGAAGACCTAATGTTTACCTTTCTCCTAATGTGGCTATGCTGGCAGTTGACATTGCCACAATTACAATGACATCTAGTTTCTAAGACTTATTACATAAAGAAATGTGGGGAAAGACTTGGAACCATGCTTAGTGCACCGTTAACGCCCAACCAATGGATTATTTTGCCTCTTCAAATGGAAGGTACACTAATGAGCCAATTACTCTGCCATTCAGAGGTACACCAACCAGTATGCATGAAGGTATACCCTCATTGTGCTGCGGCCGTCTCAAATGATGTGTAGGAATCATTTGCTTCCCTAAGAGTTTGGATGATCCATTTGCAATATCATTTTTGTGGGCAGAAAATGTGTTGCTCTAATCACAGTGTTCGTGAGTGTCTGTCAGAGTTCTGTGACTGTTCATTGGGTTCTCCTTAATACTAAGAATACATTCAGGAGATGCATTTCCCCCCCAATATTTACAGAATGAAGCTCGACTGACAATTGTAAGAACTCTTGAAGATTTTGACCTGGGCCCTACAGAAAAGTGTGTGAGGATCAACTCGGTGTCTAGTGGTCTGGCTGAAGCTGACCTAGAGACAATTCTGCAGTCCCAAGTTCTTCCCTCTAGTGTGATGTTACCAAAGGTGGAAGGTCCTGAAGAAATCCGTTGGGTAAGTCATAGTGTTTTACTGTGCGCTCAAGGCAGGCTAAGGAGTCAGTCACCAGCAGAGGGTCTGGATGCCATTAGTTTAGAAATGCATACACATAGCTCACACAATAGCTCATGGATAGAACAGTTGCTGTCATGTGTCAGGCCCTAGATTCAGTCAGTGTGCCACGAGAAAAGAGAGACAGGAAGAAGAGAAAATGGGGCTAGATGTAGCTCCATTGGGAAGAACTCTTGCCTAGTACACACAAGGCCCTAGTTTGATACCCCAGCATCACGTAAAATTGGGTGTGGAGACAAATGCATATAAGCCCAGCACTCAGGAGATAGAGATAGGAAGATCAGAAATTCAAGGTCACCCTTAACTATATAACAAGTTTGAGACCAGCCTGGGCTGCATGAGATTCTGAGTCACTAACAGAGGAGAGAAGGGATTTGTGAGAATGAGCGGTACTATCAACCATTTCCTTCCCCAAGCATCCAGCATTCCCCAGCATGTTTGCCAGAAGAGCTCTCCTTTGAGAACTCTACTTCTGCTTTCTGATTGGATTTGTGTGCAAAGCAGCTGCCTCTGTAGCCCTCACAAATCAGTCCCTGGACACTAACTTGCCTGAGCATCTGCCCTGCCACTGGAAGCTGGGGTTTGCAATTGGAAGAACCATGACATAGATGGTTCTCCTAGAGCCATCAGAGGCATCAAGGGACTCTAGCTACATGTGAAGCAAAGAGCCCAAAGCAGACAAGGAAAAGGTCACTCCTTAGGGCAACTGGAGGGGGAAACAGGAAGCTTTTAACTCGTGGTTTTAATTAGCTCAGATATTATTTCCTGAACAGCTCTCTGGTTCGCCCCCTTTTTAAATTACTGTCAGGTGTGTTTACGTTTCATGACGGACTTTTCAGCCAATAAAAGCCTGAAATGTAAAGTGGTTGGCATGTCAAATTACTTAAGAAAACTTTGAAATGGGCCCAATTATACTATGATTGTTTTAATTGTGGGATTTGGGGAGTAGGGTATTGAATAGGAAGTTACTATTATTCTCCAAGTCCCTCGAATAAAATGCCATTTTATTATGCCACTTGGAGCAGAATCTTTGGGAGTCACCTGACTGAATGGGTGATGTGGGCAATCAAAGGCCCATCTCATTTTATCTTGTGGGCTGTGGATCTAGCCATAGCAATACCCTGAGTAGCTGTCATACCTGGTAAAATTGCTCACTAAAAAAATAATAACGTATTTATTTTTTATTTCATAAGCATGTTTTGTTCTGCCTGCATGCAGGTCTGCATGAAGGTGTCAGACCCCCTGAAGTTACAGACAGTTGTGAGCTGTCATGTGGGTGCTGGGAATCGAACCCAGATCCCTCTGGAAGAGCAGCCAGTGCTCTTAACCCCTGAGCCATCTCTCCAGCCCCAACTGCTCACTTTTTTTTTAATCCATCTGAATACTCTGTACCTTTACTGGCAATGCATGGGTCACCTGCCACATGTGGGTACTGAGCATTTGAAATGTGGCCTGTGCAAAAACTGAGGTGTGCTTATAATGAGCAAAATGAACACTCGCCAGAGTTTAGACAGTTGATATTCTTTCCAAACGGGGAAAGAAAAATACCCTAATCTTTACATTGATTCCATATTGCGGCGATAATATTTGGGACCTATTAGTTGAATATAAGATAGGGAAACCAATTCCTCTTCTCCACTTTACTCTTTGACTGTAGCTACTAGAAGGCTGGGAATTGTTATACGTGTAGATGCCATGGCATTGGAGCGGTCTCACAAGGCCTGTCTTAGAGGGACTTGTGTTTACTTAGTAAACCAGAGCTCTCACCAAGGTTAGCCTTAGTTACTTAGAGAGACGGGCGTGAAGAGTGTATTAATATCCTGATATACAGGTAAGTATCAAGCCGATGGGAGGACTCTGCGAAGTCCCTCTCCTCCTCGGTTCCTTCGTTAATGCCTATTAACACCAGCATCGCCATTCACTTAAGATGGGGGTGCTCTCCCCAGCCTTGAGCTACAGCTTCCTGTCGATGTACGTGTGGGACACTCCGAAACTGAAATAGGACTTGTAGTTAGCAGAAGTCTTTTGGGGCTGTTTATTTTCCCCTCCGTTTGTATGTATGCATGCGGAGCGGAGCGTAAAACCCCAAGCCTGATGCACAACTGAAAGACGGGGCTGGCTTGTTTTCTTTTGTGTGAGAATCGCCTGCTCGCCTTTTGTCGTTAGTGTGGGCTCTTGTCTGACTGGCATGGCTTATTGGGCTGTAACAAGCGTAACTCTGCCTCTTTTGTCGCGGGACAATTCTCCCACAAATCCCAACAGTGTGCATTCTTCCAACACGCTATTGGGTGTGCACTGGTATTGAAAGAATTGCTGAGCCTTGCTACTTCATCTCCTCCCCAACCTCTTTGTAATCCCCCCCCTTCTTTTCCTCACGCCCCCCTCCCCGGCCCCCTCCACCTCGATGAAATGAACACTTTACCAGGCCGGAAACATTTAATCGTCTCCTTTTGAAAAAAATTAATTGAAACTTCTCCACTAGTTACCTTTTGTGTTAGTACTTAATGCAATTTTTTTTTTTTTTTAAGAAAGAAGGGGATGGGGAGGGGGAGGGGAAGGGCTAGCATATTTAATTTTTAAATGCCCCTATTGGCTATAAAGCTAAAGGCATTAGAGGTTTTGTTCATTAGGAACAGGGGATATCTTGTAAAAGGTTTACCTAGCTGTAAACTTTACGATTTTTTGTAGTTATAATGACTATCACGGAGAACACTACAAGTAGCCTTGGGAGTTTTCTTTCTCTTTTCTTCTTCTTCTTTTTATTTAATGGAAAAATAAAAAAAAAACCGTAGTTGTGTATTCAACACTCAAGCCACCACCAGTATTTCACTACTTGTTCTCAAGTTTAATTGTGGCATAAATTATGTTTTGTTTTCCCGGCGTCTAGTACCATACAGGCTCTGACCCATCCATTCAGCCCCCTCTTCATCCTGGCTGTTGTGGTGGGCTATTCCTTCCCGGAAAGTTACTGAGGAGGTGGTAGTGATGCCCATCTACGGGGGAGGGGCTGCAAGCAAGGGGAGCCATTCTTCATTACTGAAAGCTGTGATTTATTTTAGCCTAATTGTAAAGTTACTGCAAATCGCTCAAAAGCTTTTTTAAAGATCCCAGTGATTAGGTTTTTTTTTTTTTTTTTTGTTTGGGGGGGGGGGGGGTTGGCGCACAGGCAAGGAGGGGCAGGTAAAGGGGAAATAACACCTTTAATCCTGCCTCTGGTAAATAGGCTGCCAGCTTTTAAAATGAGTTTCCTTTCTATTAGCGAGAATATTATGCTAAGCCTTAAGCATTAGTTTTTATGTTGCCATAGCAGCCTTATTCCTGCAGGGTGGCGACCTGTGATGATTACAGTACAAAGCTTATAGGGTCTTGAAACCCCCTTTGAAGATGAAAAGTCTTTGATGGTTTATATTTATGCAAATCTCTTAGATATGATTTACCCAACTGAGACTGAATGGAGAGATGATTAAAATTCCCTTTTCCTTTGATATCCATTAATGGCTGAATATTCCTTAAATTTAAATGGATGTATATGTTTTCAACTTTATTTACAAAAATATCTTTATTATACCTGTGTTTCTTTTCTCTCTTTCTTTTTTTTTTTATCTTCCCGCATCTTATTAGATCTAGATAGACATAATAGATTTACAATTTAGATTGTGTGGCTCCCCCCCTTTTTTGAAACGGGGGTGTGGGGGATCTGCGAGAGCTTTTGTATGTTTCCAGATGATAGATTTTGGAATTTGGGCTACCCCACTGGCTGCACAGAGCTAGCTGTGAACTGGTCTCATGGAAAAAATTGGCAAGCTTTGGTCTTCAAAGAATTAAACTTCCTTTTTAAGGTCTTCCTAGGTAAGCTTTAAAAAAAAATATGAAGAAAATCCTCCGGAACAAAGGGTAATAACACTATAACGAATACTACAGATTCATCATATGTAGGAGGCAGCCGAGCGATTGCACAAGTGTCGGTGTTGGGTTCGAGACAGAACAGAAGGGCAGGTAGAGAGCCCTGCTTTGTTCTGAGAGCCTGCCATTTGCATTTATCGGAGCAGAGAGGGTGAGAGGTGCTGAGTAAATATGTTTTCCAGGGAAGCATTTAAACCTGGGAATCTCTCCTCCCCTCTAACTTGTAGGCCTCAGATTATTTCCTTTGGCAGAAAATGAATTGTAGTGTTTGGGATCTCACTCTGGGGTTTGGGGGTGGGGGTGGGGGGGCTTTGTTACCTCTACTTCCCCCCCCCATTCCTTTGTGTAGATAAAGGAGGCTGGGGTGTTATTACTTCCTCAGGTCAAAGGCTGCAGCCCTGCTCCTACGTCTGCATCTCAGGGGTTGAACTTCTGCTCTCATCACTAATTACCTGTGACACTTACTTCTGATTTTAGTTTTCAGACAAATTCTCATTCCACTTAAAAGGCCGAAAACTTGAACAGCCAATGAATTTAATCCCTTTTGTGGAAACTGCAATGGGTTTGCTCAATTTTAAGGTAAGAAAACCATACGTGGTTATGTAAGCTAGCGTTTTATTTTAATAACCTAGTGAGAACTTCTGGTTTTTTTTTTTTTTTTTGAACGTCTACTTTAAAAAAAAAAAAAAAAAAAACTTTAAGGAAACATTTATAAAACAAAATAAGATATTTAAACCATGACTGTCCAAAAACATTTTCTTGGGTTGTCAATATCTTGGAAGACAAAGAAACCAGCTTTTTAAAAAGGCCTTTCCTGTCTTGAATATCTAAACAAAACATTTATATGTTCCTGGGATATGCATAAATATAAAATCACAGGACAAATATATGCCTTGAATTATCACGTGGGTAGGGTAAATGTACATGGAAATTTTACTTTGTCACCTTTATGAATTAAATTTGAGTTGTTTCTTTCCTACAATTTGTCTTTCCATCCTCAAGCGTCCCCGGGCTCTCTGTGGTACTATTATCTGTAATCCCTAGCAGATAAGATTATTGTTTATAGTTCACATACGTAAATAATTTATAATCTCTTGTTTGAGTCTGTCATGATTCAGACAAAGTGTTTTCTAACACGCGTTTAAGAAGATGAACCGAGCCAATCCTCGGCCACCGTGTGGCTGCATTAAACTACCTGCCTTGTCAGATTCACAGCCACTGGCCCATTGTCCCACTGCCCCCCACACCCAGGTTTGTTATTCCATTTCCCAGAATGTGTCCCCCATCCCACCTGACCTTTGAATGACTGTCTAGCACACCCTGTACCCTCTTCTCAGACTTTCTAGTCCGTGGTGTTTTTGCATTTAATTTTCCTCCACTCCAGAGGGCACGAGGGAAAAAAAAAATCACCAAAAAAAGTTAGCTGAGCTGAGATGGAGAGCACACAAGCAAGTGCTCAGGTGAGGCTTTACAGACCTGGAGGACTTTGGGTCCCAGTGCAAAGGTTTTTTTTTTTTTTTTTTGGGGGGGGCTGCTTCAAGCCTGTCTCGTGACCAACTCCTTTATTCAGATAACCACAGAGCCGCTACCCCGGAACGCAAACCTGAGCTGGGGTCAGGTACAGGGAGTGGTTTAATTTTTAGATCACTTTTTTTTGTTATTCTGTCATGTGTTTAGGAGCTCCCACAATGCCTGAAGTTAATCCACAGCAACCCACCCACACAAATAAATGTTAGCACATTACAGCCCCAAGGCTCTGAGTTCCGTCTACGGCAAACACTACTCGTCTTTACTTCCGTTTGGACATGTCAGAGTTGCTTTGTTCGAAAGCCCTGGGTGACTCATGGCCGTTCATGTCCCCTCTCAAGCTGCAGGTTTGCACTGCCTGACTTTAAGCCTGAAACCATTTTTAGTTGACCTTAACGCAGATAAATCCAATTAGTTTGATTTAAAAAAAAATCTGCTCTCCTCTCCTGTGGCTTTATGTTTATTACTTAAAGTCTTTTAAGACAAAACAAATTCTGGATTACTTACAATAGACGCTAAGAAAGTTCACCCAAAGTTATCTAGAAAATTGGGTGGGCTCTAATTTGAGCATTCTAGCTGTATAATAAATAGCGGCGGCTGTATTAATGTAAACAGCAGGCCAAGCAAATGTGTATGAGGTACTTATCTGGAGGACATTAAGTGCTTTGGGGAAGGGCTCAGTGTGTGTCAGCCAAAGTGTGTTCGCATCCGATCTTTCCTAGCACGGATTCCCTGGCTCCCAGCCTCTGAGACTCCTCTGTTCTGCTCTTTTCCAGGCAGTGTGTGAAGAAACAGTGAGGATTGGGCCTCAAGTGGGTCTGTTCCTAGATGCAGTCGTTTTTGGAGGAGAAGATTTCCGAGCCAGCATAGGTGTCAAAAATCTCTGTGTCTTCCCCAGCCCCGCCCGCCCCTGCGTGCATGTGTGTGTGTGTGTGTGTGTGTGTGTGTGTGTGTGTGTGAGATTTTTTTGTCTTTGCCCCCTCACAAAGGGACATTTACATAACAATGCATATTTCCCAGCCCTGACCATGGCTTTTCATGACAACTAACTGACCACCACTTCCTGATAATTTAGGGCTCCATTTCCTGCTCCCAGAGTCCTGCATTGTTACTTCTGCTCATTTATAAAATAACTAATAAAAGCCCCTTGCAGCCTCAGGCTTGCTTAAGGACATATAGAGGTCTTCTTGGCATCTGCTAACATGTTACATAAACAGCCTGACGCTGGCTTAAATATTGGTCCTCACGTCAGTCCAGGGCCTGGTCCTCCTTAAGAAAGCATTACAGTGATATCTTGTTGGCCTCAGTGGAGTGTCTTCACGTTAAATGTAGTAAGCAAGTTTTTTTTTTTAAAGGTAGATTATAAGTTTGCCTTAGCATGTATTTCAGAACATTTGTTGTTACATATTTACTGGCCCTGCTGATGCCCACTGGTGTGTTTCCTCCCCTGGGCCCTGTACTCAGTCCTATCTGGATGTTTCTATGGTTAGAGGCTGTCTTCAGACTCACGTTTCAGGGGTCTGGGGACACTTTTCCTACTACTGTAGCCCAAGTTTAAGCAGTGACTCAGTCCCTTCCTTCAGGGTGAAGAAGAAAATTTTTATTTTTATACAAGTCTTCTCAGGAGACTTTAATGCATCCCACAGCTAATGTGTGTGCTACAGAAGGCATAGAGGTACTTTCTGCCTCTCCCAAAATGAGAGTCTCATTCCTCAAGTGCTCCGACCAAACCCCGGAGTATGGGCTCAGGACACCTTTGAGGACAGATGTAACAAGACAGCACATGGCACTTCCAGGAAGTGAACCATTTCCCCCCAAGCCCCCTGCACACTTTGTTGTGGTTCTGTCTTTGGACTGACACTCTCCAAGTGATAACACAAAGGAAGAAAACCAGGCCACTGTGTATGACCCCACATACATCTCCTGACACGGAGGAGGGGCCTTTAGCTGATGCATGTACGAGCGGTTACATTTGAAAATATGCCAGTTCACTAGACACATGTGCTATTCAACATTTCTTCCCCATATACCAGCCTTCCTGTACAGCTGAATAATTGCTTTCCTGGGGTACAGTTCCCAGGAAGGCATGCATGTCTTCCTAACCTGGTTTCTATAGTAGGTGTCTGAGTTTGGTTGCCAAGGTTATAGCAACACTTCCCTGTGCATATCACACTTACAGGCGCAACAAGCAATAAGAACACCCAAGACATCCTCTACGCCCGACAGAAAATTGTCGTCATAGCGAAGGCCTTTGGCCTACAAGCCATAGATCTTGTATACATTGACTTCCGGGATGGAGATGGACTTCTCAAACAGTCAAGAGAAGCCGCCGCTATGGGCTTCACTGGTACGATTCCTAGTGCTGTCTTAAAAAGTGTGTACATTAGCAGGTACCCCTGAAAAAAAGATGTCTACTCACCCCATGAGCTGTAACACCTGACAGCTGCACAGAGCAGAAGGCAAATGGCTGTTACCTGGGTTGTTGGGTGTTTCTCTTTCTTCTTCCCCTCTCTCTCTCTCTCTCTCTCTTTTGTCTTTGCAACTTACAAAACATGGCACTTGTTTGAATTTTTCTTTGTAATTGTTAGTTCTTTTTCTTTCCTGTCTTATTAAGTATTTCTGTATAGTTTGAGCTGACCCCAGACAAGGGATGAAGTTATCATGGGAGGGCTGCAGAGTAAATAACTATCAGAATTTAGCCTGATAGAATATAAAGAGATGTTACTAAAATAGTTGACATATTAACTTTTAATTGATGATATTGCCCGTGATTTAAGTTTTACCCATAACTATTTTTTTTTTAATTATTTGGCAACCTCATGCACCCCCTTCCTCCTTTGTCTCCTGATAGCCGACACCTATGGTACTGGCTGGCACTGGGTCCGTGAGTCCCTCACAGGCCGGTACGGGGTGCAGGCAGGCAGTTGACAGTCATCGATGTGCTCATCACTCCTGTCCCCATGAGTCCCGGGAACAACTGAAAGTCATGTTTTGCAGCAGAGCTCTGTCTTTTGAAATCCCTAATAGAATCTTACGCATAAATAACTCCGTGCAGTTATATACTAATGTGAACGCGAGTGTGCTCTCTCTCTGTCTCACACACACATGCACGCACCCATGCACGCACGCACGCACACACACGCACGCACGCACGCACACACGGAGGGACTATTGTTTATCCTTTTGGTCTAAGATTGATAGCTATAAATATACTCAGCAAGGAGGAGGAGGAAAGGTAGGCAGGCAGGCAGGAAGGAAGGAAGGAAGGAAGGAAAGGAGGAAGGGAGGGGAGGAGGGAGGAAGGAAAGAAAGAAAGGAAGGATGTTATCCCTTTTTTAAAAAAAAAAAAATATTTTGCTACTATACCTAGTCAGAATTTAGCCGAAAGCCTCATAAAATGCCTTGGAAAGGAAAGGGTTTATTAGCAGAGGATGACTTATCCTGAAGCAAAATGGAAAGACTTAAAACAATAGTACAGTTATCTCAGAATGACATAACCCTGATATCTGTTTTTGTATATAGCAGAACACTAAAATAAACCTGAACGCCTAATGTTTTAACCTTGCAAACATATGATCCACGCATAGAAATGTTGCATAGTGATTTGAACTATTAGTAACTTCTCCTTATATTTCATAGGGACTGAGAGAGAAAGGAATCCCCCTATTATTCAGCGCATGGGACATGCCTGTCCTTGGCCTCCTTCAGTGGCCAGTTAGGATGTGACCCAAATGGGAAAGTTGGAAGGAAAGGAAAAAAAAAAAAAAAAAAAAAAAAACCTCCACGAAATCTATCTAATGTTAAACCTATCTAACTCTGATGTTGTTGGCCTATAGCCAGGTAGCCAGGTTGCTCTGAAGTGGGAACTAATTCAACAGGACAGAGCTCCCCGGCCTCGGCCACCAGGCCTTTATGTTCTTGGGCTGATGTTTTTTCCAGCTTCCTCTGGGGCTTAAAGGCTTCTCAAGATACAGAACTGAATTCAATTGGTCCCCAGTTCAATTCCAAAAGACAAGCTATTTCAAATCCGGTTTAAATGTCTAGACTGTGCCCAGCTCAGCACGAAGAACTTTCGGACCTGGCACTATTGTCTCTGCCCAATGGGGAACATTGGATCACAGGAAGGTGGAGGCCAGGGTGCGGGGAGGCGCGGAGGGCACGGTGCCCATTGTGCGTCCAAGTGACAGAACCTGTAAGCGGGGCCACACGCCACACACACTTACTGATTTTGAGAGAAAGGGTCTTTATTGTCACAACTATATTGCTACACACTAATAAAGAGCGCATTTCTTAAGCACATGCTCTCATTGAACACTTCATGCTATTCATTATCTTGGGGTACTAGTTTTTGGAATTTAATTGTGATATCTTAAGCCTTGCATAAGAAAGGGAGAAAACAAAAACAACCAGAAGATGAAAGAGAGTGAGGAGAGGAGGCAAAATATTGTCACCAACTGTACAACACTTGTCTGAAGCAGGTGGCCAAAGGACTTAAAAATCAGTGAAAGTGTTGTGTTACTTATAATGCTGGTAAAGACTAGGTTGTCTATACAATAATTTTAATGTCTATATACATATGTTTAGCCTTACTTTATGAGAATATAACAAGATTAGACCATTTCCTCCCCTCCAAAAATAAGTTATCATCACACAAAACAGTGGGCTATGGTTGGTTTTTTTTTTTTTTTTTTTGGCCATCATTACTGCATGGGACCCCCACTCATATTAACTGATCTAAAATCAATCCGTTAATCCGTTGACTGTATCAAGCCATTAACTTTAGGATTTTTCTCTTTTTTTTTTAAATAATAAAAAGACATCAAAAGTAAAACTCGGGAGAAAGGTTTTCCCACTGCCTTAGCCATTTACTACATCACTACATGCTTCGAGGAGGCACGATTATAAATATGAGAAGCAATATAGGTTTTCTTTTCTTTCTTTTTTTTCCTTTTTCCGCAGTCTTTTATGGAAGACATAAATGACACCATCATGCAGTTACCTAAAAGACTTGACAGGTATTGATTTAAAGCAAGATATATCAAGTGGTCCTGTAAAAAGGATCTCACGGTCATAAATTTTAATGCCGTCCAATTTTGCACCCTCTTGGTAACTTGTCAATAATAAGCCTTCTGGATAAAATATTTGTTCCGTTTCCACACGGCAGTCATTGGAATGTGTACAGTGATAAAAGAGCCCTTGGCATGAGAGTGTACACAGGTTTAAGAAACCCAACATACATCTTAACAGTGGCCTATTACTAAAGTATGGGCACTTCAGAGCTGTTGGGAGATTTCACAAGAATCTAGCTAGCTAGTTATGTTTGCTGCTGACATTACAGTGCCTGTACCAGAAGTTTCCGTGAAATCTGCCTTTTCGCACAGCAGTGTAAATTATGTACATAAATTATAAAACCCAGGGCTGACAATTAGGAAATGCCTACTGGGCACTGACAAGCTTTTTAAATAATAAATATTATTACAACTATTAAATTAATTAAATGTGGAATCAATACCTACTATTTGAAAAGAGTTCACATTTGTGGCTCCTATTATTTGTCTCCAAAAATTAGTGTTCAAATAGTTTCAAGTGCTTTTATTTATATGGATTCCTAACATTTTCCTATTACACTGACAGGCAGGAACGAAACGATAATACAGTATGTTTCAACTATGCCAGGACCAAAACAAAAAAATATTATCTAGTCACCTAAACTTCTTTTCTTGAAACACTACCAAAAAAAAAGAAATTCCCCGTTTTACTATTTTTACAAACACCATTTCTTTATCTGTTCAACAGAAGGATAGTAACAGGAACTGGTGTTTTCTAAAACATCTGAGCGGTAATTTGTAGTGGTTAAATATTGAAACAACTGTTTCAAAAGCAAATTAATGTAGCAACAAATGCAGTTAACAGCCATTAAGTGTACATCAACTATAAAGAGGCAATTTACGTTCATAACTTTATCTTGTAATGCAATGTAATCTCATCATTGTGACATTAAATTATATTGCATTTTATTAATGACCTGATTAAATACCATACTTCCCTGATTGTTCAATTGAGGTTTCGTTTTTCATTTTTTTTTTAACAGTGTTATAATTGTACAGAATCCTTTGAGGCCTGTGTATAGAAGATGCTTTTATTTAAAATCCTTAAACTTCATAAAGAATCAAAGATCTTTTTTTAAGGCATTTCTGCATAGATACGATTTCTTGTAATTTGAAGACAAACCAACTCTCAAACTGTTAAGAAAAAAGGGAAGATCAGAATACATTTTTGGATAGATAAATTTCCTGTAATCTTTTTATTTTAAAAAAATTTAAACAAAATAATCTAGATGACCCAGTACTCAAATCCGCCTTTTATTTTACAACTGTACACATATTTTCATTGAAATACATATGTTAAAAATGACATGCTCAAAAAGAAAATTAAGTACACAATCGTAATGTAGTATTTGGTATTAATATGGTCATAACATCTGTGATGAGCTTAACAATTGACATGTTGTTGGTATAAGAACTATAGGAAGAAACACAATTTTCCCAAACCAAGTAGCTTACACAATTAGAGAGAATTCTCACCTAAATTCATTCTACCTTTAACTCAAAATAATGGATAATTTATAGGTATCCTCTAGTTAAATGCCCAGGCAAAGTAGTTATCCAACAAGCTGCATCGTCCAGCCACCTGTAACCAAAAATGAGGCATTTTCTCCTCTGAAGTGGCCCTGCCATAAATCTAGAGTGCAGTTACTGCTGTACTTGTATTTGTTCTTATGTGGTTTTTGTGAAAAGCCTGTCTGGTTGTGGGTTGTATTTTGTACCGTTTCCTTCTTCAACACCTACTCTGTGAGGCATCCAGGGATGTCCCAAGCTGGGTGCACTTGGTGTGTGTGTGTGTGTGCGTGCTGTCTGTCCCCCACACCAGCCTCCAATGCAGCTCCTCTCCTTGCAGGTAAACAGGTGATCCACCCCAACCAGATCGCTGTGGTACAAGAGCAGTTTACTCCGACCCTGGAAAAAATTCAGTGGGCTGAAGAACTGATTGCCGCCTTCGCAGAGCACCAGCGACTGGGGAAGGTAAATGTTTTGTAAATGCCTCATTGATGCAGGAGTTTAATGCTATGAGCAAAATAATACCCTTTGAATTGCTTAAGGAAAGAAAACTCGTTGCTTCTACCAGAAGAAAAGGGGGAATGTGGGATGAAAATAACATTTATCACTCAGAAAATCCCTGAAGGTAGATGCCCATCCCTTTCCCTAAATAGCTTACTAATCTGTCCTGTAAGCTGTGTTGGCAGCCTTAAAAAAGTAAGTTTTGTTAGCTCCTCCCGTGTGGTCTTCGAAGCAGCAGTTGTGTGAAAATAATTTCACATCAAAGTGAGAGAGCATCGTAACGAAATAAGCACAGTTTGACCACATGGTTCTTGTAGAGAAAAGAAATAAATTTCAAGTTATTTTAATGGGGGGGGGATAGGGGAAAAAAAAGTATTAGTGTCTCCTCTGGTTTAGTCATTTAGGAGTGGGAGGATGTAGATGGATTTGTACCGATTTCTGGACCTGAGATTTGGAAAGAATGGAAGGCAAATTAACACCGAGTACGGTTGTTCTAATTTAGTGCTTCATTGAGCCTGGCGTTTCCCGCTCTGTGGGTTTCTGCTATGTAAATATTGCGGTGGTAATGCACAATCTGTCTCCACTTTGTGCCAGTAACACTTAAATTAGGTGTCGCCTGAAGGAAGATTTTATGTTACTTGCAGCATTGTCAGTTAATTATCTTAAAGGTTATTTGCAATAATACCGTTTGCCTCTTTTTCAAAGGGATGGGGGGTGGAGGGTTGCATTTATAAATCTATCCTAGAGATAATCTTCTACTTCAGCCCATGCCTTCCGTAAGGAGCGGAGTAGTCACGCCTCCCATACAGAATTACTTAGCAAAGAGAGAATGCTGAAAGATTAATAAGGTCCTAAACATTAAATACTCACGCTTGTGAAAATATATAAATACGTAAAAGACAGCAGAGAAGAAGGGAAAGCTGGTTTTTCAATGGTGGGCCTGTGACAGTCATGTGTGCCCAAGTGTCCTTTGCACATCCCCTGGTACCAAGGACACCTGAAAATCTCAAGGCTTGTACAAGTGGGTAACAATATTAAGTAGGTCGTTCCCTGTAGATATCTGCCATGAACAGGCATATCCCCACACACCCAACCCCATACACACATTTGTACAGATTCACACTTAATATACAAAGCCAGAAGACCTACAGAGGAACGATCCCATTTGGACATCACACCAATTTTGTGATAAATTACATTCCCCTATCCCCATCCCCATCCCCACTTCATTTCATGTCAAGGGTGGCCATCAAAAATATTCTCCATTTCACAGAAAAAAATATTTTAAGTTGGCATTGTATTTTATGTCTGTTTATATATGGAGCTTGCCTGCAAATAAACATTATTTACATAGAAAGAAAAGATGTTTACTTTCACTGACACAAACAAACAACTCCATCCATTTGTCACGCACACCTGCATGCACACGCGCGCTCGCGCACTCACACACACACACACACACACACACACATTGACACACCTTATGCTAGCTGACAGTGTGCAAGCGATAACCATTTATTGAAACAGGAAACTGAGGCAGCCTGTGTTCCCTTAAGATGGCAGACAAGGTCCGGTGTGGGCTGGTTCTGCCTCGATGAACCAGGCACGCCATTGTCACTGATACCTGGTCTTGCAACCAGATGGGAAATGTTATCCTCCATTTTACCAGCTCCCAAACAAAAGTCAGACCAGAAACACACCTTTCCTGCCATTTAGGCTCTCGAATGAAGACTACAATCCCCCCTCTTCCATTATATCTTGAAAATATTATTCCTTGGGGAAAATTGCCCAAGACTTTGGTAATGGCGATGGAAATGTTAAGTTCTGAGCTTTTTTTCTTTTTCATTCTCCAAATAAGAAGTGGCGCTCTTGTCGGGGTATAATTGGGGCATAAGCTTTCACAACAGTGTGGCAGGCCAGCTTTTCTTAACACAGAACCATAGAAATTGGAGCAGAAGGGCATTACCTATTAGGTCATTTCTTCCCTGTCCACTTTGTGGAGGTTTGTTTCCTACAGCAAATAGCCCTGGCGCTTTTTTTTTTGTCCAGCGTGGGTTAAATGACTGAAGTAATGGAGCTTCCAGTAGGGACATATGGTTATTTTATCCAGTTAGCACGATTCTTTCCCTGTGCCTACAAAAAAAGGCTGGTCACAAACACTGGGGCGGCAGGTAGGTGCCTCTGGATCTTGGTGGGGTCTTGCGGTTTAAATAGCGTGGTCTCTTTTGGCAGAGATCTTGTATAAATAAGAGCTCAATCATAGGAAGTATCACCTGCAACAAACATCTAATCTGTCTGAGTTCAAATGTGTGCTATTTATGAAAAATACGAACCCCCGGATGTCTTGTCCAAAGCACAGATGACTACCAAGGACGGGAAATGGATGGCTTGCATCCTGGTGAGGTGCTCATGAATCTCCCTGAGGCCTTGTCCCTCTCATCTGATGAAAATTTCATTTAATTAATTCCTTTAAGTAGAAACGGTCCAAGAAGGCAATGTGAAATAGCCTTGCCTTTTCTCCCACCCCTTGTCTTCAATTATGTCCTTTCTGCTTGGAGGCCGAAGCGTGGCTGAAGTTGGCAGTTAATATTGGGCCATTTATGTTTCCTAAAGTGATATACTATAATAGTGAAAGTCCTAGTTTTTTTCCTGTCTCTAACTGACAACAATCATGGGCAGGTGAGTTGTTGGGGCTCAGGCTTTGAAAACTCAGGGTTCTTTTCTGTTAGAAGTTCCATGGACATTAAGTCTAATGCATCCAGAACGTGGGGAAGACAATGTACCTCAAAAAAATAATGACACCGAGCCCACCTAGTCTGTTAGTATTTGACAGGTATGTTGACAGAGCCCTCCTGATAAATAACAGAAGCAATGGGCTGAAATTTGGAACCTTAGCTTGTTTTTCTCTTATTAAAATCTGTTAGAAAAAGCTTATTCAGCATAAGCTCTATTCCAGTTCTAGTTCCTAGGAAGTAAAATATTTGTAATGTAATTGACATCCTTTGCAAAGTGCTCACCCACTTTTACTAACTGGTCAGACTCCATCATGTACACCATAAGTTCTGGCTTGGTAAAATATCTAAGCTGGAATAAATCACTTTTCACATGGTTTGCTTTAAATGTATAAAGGATTTTCTTTAAGATTATTTGCTTATCTCTCTCTCTCTATATATATATATATATGTATGTATGTATGTATGTATTCAATCATTTTTTTCATAGTGGCAATTTTTCTCCATTCAGAACTGGATTTAGTGTTGGTTTAATGAAGAAACATGACTTTCTTTCTTTTTTCAATCCACTAAGAATTTTATATAATGTAAAACTTTCATAATTATAATGGAAGCTTCTCAAGTCATTAGTTATTGCTGGGATTAACAGAAACTGTTAATTACACAGAATTAAGTGCCTATAACATATGTATTAATACAATACATAAAAGCATATTTGACCCTGCGGCTTTTTTCCATCCGTATTATGATGTTGCTACTAAGTCTTTCTTCTCCATGATTGCTTATTAGGCAAAAATGGCAATAGGAAATAGCTCATTCCCCTTTTTAAAAAATGATAACTAATCAAAGGAAACTTCTTTCAACTTGTGAAAATATGGAATGCTTCTGGAATTTGCATGTCATTGTGGTGCAAGAGGGCAATGTTAATCTCCTCTGTATCTTTACAATTTTAGTATGTGTACTGCCAGAGCACATACACTAAAAATCAAAGGAAATCTTAACATAGAGTGTGAAAAAGTGTGGCGATCTAGCAAATATATGCATGGCATTTACGATGATTTTGGGGGGTCCTTTGTTAGAATAGACATAGCCTTGCAGTATTTGGCTGCAAACCTGAGTTTTATTCAGTTTTCTAGGCAATCCCCCTTTAATCCCATCATTGCCCGTTTGGAAGGATTTTTTTTTTTTTTTTTTTTTTTTGGTCAAACATTTTTAGCAGTTTTCATTCATTACAGAGTCACAAGCTGACTAAGTGCCAAGGGAGGGGAAACTTTCGTTCAAGATCTAGGTCCCATTAACAATTATAAAGGTCAAAGGCAAGGTCAGTAGTGACGTAAGGAGTAAATATCACACGTAACTGGGACGTTCCTGTTTCACTCATGAAGGAGCAATAGCGAAGGCTAACGAGCTGACATTCATAAACACTTCCTGTGTGGAGTGTCAACTATAAGAAATCTCTTATTAAAGCAGAAAGGAGAAGTTGGTTTCTTTCCATCTCAAAAGTCGCCAGCTATACTAAATCGTCCCCTTCCAACTACGGAAAGCAAGTGATTTTGTAGGTATCACAGCTCTGCACCTTTATGCTTCCAAATGTGGACCTTTACAAAAGAAATACCGTTCGATCCAGATGGCTCTCCCGAAGGCTCCCCGAGAGAACTCGGGAGAAATCTCTCCAGCCAAAAATACTCTTCCTTCTTGTTCAAGTGCCAGAAAACCTACTGTCTCTTTCACACAGATCAAATAAACCATCTAAAGATTTGCTTGTTGACTTTGTCAGATGAAAGAATTGAGCCACTAATAGGTAACAGTGTAGCCCTTTCCCCGCCCTGCCCACCCATCCCACAGCCTTTCCCTTCTATTTCTGAACAACAATCCGACAAGTACCCAGTGAAATCTGGGTGGAAAGGAAAGACGGGCAGAAACAGACTTTGTGATGCTTGGTAACTGCTTTTTCCCTGTATGTCCCTTTGTGTTCATTTAGCGTTTTCAGAGCTATATGCTATAATATTGACTCCAAAATGTCCAGCCCTTAGGAAATCTTGAGTGTGCCAATGGTAACTTCATGACAAATTCGATACACGCTGAGTGGCAATTAAAAAAAAAGAAAGAAAAAAAAAAAAAAAAAAAGGAAAAGCATTTAAAACCTGGACGTGGAATTCCTGTGCTGCTCTTAAAGAAGCCTTGTTTTTAGAGACAAATGGCCAGTCCTGCATTAAGGGATAAGGTTTTTGTTTTGTTTCTTTTGGTTTTCATATTAATTTTTTCATAGGTTGTCTGGTAACTCTTTAAATTACTGGCTTCATCTTTCGTATGATTCATTAAAGCCAGTTCTTAAAGGTAGTATAATCAAAACAGCTTTACTCTGTAGTTATATTTTTTTCCCTGTATCTGAAAGCTTTTTAAAATATCATATAGTCAGACCTGAAACCCCAAAAAAAATGTTTATAAATCATTCACATCCAAGGTGGTTATAAATCTGTGACCACCATTCTTAAATAGAAGAGTACAGATATTTCTGCTGGGTAACAATGAATACTCACACAAATGACAGATCTGGTGTGTGTGCGTGGGTGTATACCTGTGTGGGGGGTATTGTACTGGTGTGCTCACTAGTGTGCAGAGGTCAGAGGTTAGTCTTTCATCCTACATCTTAGTTTTTAAGAGGTGTTTTGTCACTAAGCCTGCATTTGCCCTTTTGCTATACTAGCCAGCCAGCAGACACCCCCCCACACACACACACACCTGCCTCCCCACCACATACACACCAGGGTCCTCCCAGCGCCATCTCCCCAGAACTGGGGATATACACATGCACCACAGCACCCAGCTTTTACATGGGTGCTAGGGATCTGGATTCAGTTAAGATCTCCTAAGCTCCCAGATAGAATCATGATTCCCGTTTTAATCAAAATGTGAATGCTAGTTCAGATTTATATGCAGACAAGCATCTTCTGATCTTTTTTCTTTCTTTTAATTATTTATATTTTAATATAATTTTTAAAATTTTTTTTTAAAATTATTTATATGCACCAAAAGAGAGCATCAGGTCCCGTTATAGAGTCACCAAGTGGGAGTGGGTGCTGGAAATTGAACTCAGATCCTCTGGAAGACCAGCTAGTACTCTTAACCACTGAGCCGTCTCTCCAGCCTATGTCTTCTGCTCTTGAGCAAGAGCCAAACAAGGAAGGAAGAAAAGAACTCCAGGTTCACCCTGCCCTCCCTGTTATCAAATCCCACATAGCTCCGCCCCTTTCTTCCCAATCCTATTTTGATCTTGTTCATCCACCCTGGCCCAGTAGGGTTTTTGATTGGTTCAGATCACTCTAAACCCAAACCCCACTCCACAGGCTCGAGGTAGAAGGGAGAGGGTCAGAGTAAGGCTGGAAAAGCCCGTGTTACCCAGAGCTGAGTTTCATCCCTCGAATGGTACACTCCCAGCAAGGAGACGCGCGGGGGTGGGAGGGGGCAGGAAGGATTGTTTTGCCCTGTTTTTCCCTTTGAGGCTCTAGGTCTGTAGATTTGTCTGTGTGGTCTTCGCCCTTCCCCTCATCCCCTTTCCCTGGCTTTCTCCTTTGTTTTTTTTCCCTCCTACTTCATGTCTCACACCTCTATCTGCACCCGCCCCCCATCACCACCACCATAGTTATCTCCTCTCCCTTAACTGACTAGAGAAGTGTGAGGAATCCTTTATACTGCTGGTGCTTTTAAGGCTTATTTTTCATTATGTGTGTGACGGGTGGCGAGGGCAGTGCCTGCGGAGGTTAGAGCTGTCAGGTTCTCTGGAGCTGGAGTTATAGGTACTTTGTGAGCCGCCCGGTGTGGATGCTGAAAGCCAAACTTGGTCCTCTTCAAGAGCACTTAAGAGGTCTTAGCTGGTGTGCCATCTCTCCAGCCCTGATTTTTGGTGTCCTATGGTGGAACTTTGTCTTTCTTGTTTACATTAAAAGCTAGCAAATTTAATATATGTCAAGGGCTAGAGAGATGGCTCAGCCGTTAAAGGCTAGGCTCACAACCAAAAGTGTGTAAATAATAAGAATAATAATAAGTCAAGCATTTATAGAATTCTCTATTTTTTCCACTTTGGTCGTACTTGATGGGAAAAACATGGGCAGTCTTACTACCATCCTAGAGAACAAAGATTTCTGTCTGCTACCTCCATGTCTCCCCGTAGCCAGCTAGACAGAAATGGACGCTTAAAGCACACTTAGGAAACACTATTGAACCAACTTCTTACAAATTATTTATCAGTGCTGAAAATAACTTGCTGGGTTTTTGTTTTTGCTTTTGAGACGGGGGTTTTCTGCATTTCCCTGTCTGACCTAGAAACTCAGGATGGCTTCAAACTAAAATGAACCTCTGATTATAGGTGTGAGCCACCATGGCCCGCTGTTAACAGTATCCATGATATTGACTTCTCTCGGCCTTCTAGAAAAATTAAGACTATGTCCCCATCTGTTGTGCTAAAAAAAAAAAGTACTAGTGTTCTAATAATCTTAAATTAATTTTAGTTCATGTTAGCCCATTTATATCTACTTAAAAAAATAATCCTAGGAGCTTAGCATCATTGATCTTAGTGTACTTTGGGGTAATGTGGCATTTACTGTCTGGGATTTCCATCGGCAATGTGGCTTTTGTTTGACATGAAGTGTTATTTGGTTGATTGAGGATAACCCTGAATTCTGGTCCTGCCTCCACCTCCAGAGTGCTGCATTACAGGGGTTTCCAGCGCCCCTAGAATAGAACCCCAGTTCACCTCAGCTCTCCTGCTCATTTGCCTTCCAACCTGGCGCCTTCCAAAGCCACCTCCGGGAATTGTTGCTTCTCCTCTGACTTCTAACCCTTTCAGTGAAGTCCTGAGTTGGTCTTGGCAAGGATGACACGTAGGTTTTTGTTTTGTTTTCTGTGTAGAGTGAGAACTAAGTGATTTTATGATTTTTCTTTACAAAATTAATGTGAGCACCGTTCATCCATTCATCCTCTGTCTGTTCCGCTTTCCACTTGATTGGAATTGACCCCGTTTTGGCCATTTGTCATCTTCCCGGTTCTGGCCATTTGGTAGCCTTCTCTACTTTCTAAATTATATTCGTCTTCCCGCTGGTACTCTGTCAAATATCTAGCACTCCTGCATCTATTTCCTTTACTTTCCCCTAAAGATTTATTTATTTTTTTATGTGTATGGATGACTTTGTCTGCTTCTGTGTCTGCATACCAGAAGAGTGCATTGGATCCTGTTGGTAGTACAGTTATAGACAGTTGTGAGCTGCCGTGTGGGTGCTGGGTGAGAATTGAACCCAGGACCTCTGGAAGAGCAGCCAGTGCTCTTAAACTCTAAGCCATCTCTCCAATGCCCTGAGTCTAGTTTCTTGAAGAGACAGCTATTTTTAAAAACTGTGTCTGGGGTGGGGGGTGTTGGTTTACAGGGAACAGGGGGTCTAGCATGCATCTGCCTCTACTCTTATCACCAATGCTGATGTCTCTCAACCCATTAAAGTCATTCTGAAATCTGACCTGGGTACACACCAGATGTTCTCCAGTCCTTCTGGGGGCTTTTGATGACAAATGTAGTTAAGTGTCTTTGACAGACAACTCAATGGGTAAAGGCACTTGTGTGCAATTGACAAGTTGTGTTCAGTCCTTGGGACACACACAGTAGGAGAGAACTCCCCGCGTGTATGGTGGGGACTCCCAGTCCCCTCCAAATAAGCCTTAAAAAGGCGTTGGCTAACCCTATCAGTCACAACACAAGTAGCTATGTGATAGCTGTAGTCATGGTAACTGTCACTCTGGTGGTGCCATAGCAATCCGAGTAGAGGTGGCCGTGGTAGACCTGGTTCAGGGGTGGTGGTGATACACCTCTGACAGTTCTCATGACAGGGAGCCTGGAAGGCCATTGCGTGTCTACCGTCATGGGGCATGTTCGCTCTCTGTTTGGGGGTAGCCCTGGAGGGACTCTGGTGCACATGCCCACTACCT